TGACAGCACAGGCGGAGAGATGGAAAAACCTTCTCTGGGCTGTATTTTCATGGAAAGCAGGGCAAAAAAGCAGCATTTAGCTCAGTCAATAGAGCCAGAAGATTGCAAGGAGCAAGTGTACAGCTCATGAAGCAGGGCTTGCTTCCCCCCATCACCTTGAAAAGTGGTTGAGGCTTTGAGCTCTTTTCTCTTCTCAAGGCAGATGACTCCTAGGAGCATCAAAAGGAGTTCATTACACACCGAATCCCACCGGGACACAAATTCTGATGGGCCAGGAAGAAAAGGGAATATTCAAGATATTTCCTTTTAAATGAAATATAAAAGCAGGAGAAAATTTCCAACCCCATGTGAACACACGTGCAAATCTTACGTGAGAAGAGGCACATGGGACTGAAAGTAGGGCAGCATGTGCCGGAGCTGCTCCCTCCGCGGCGGAGGCTCTGCCATGGTTATCACCGCGGCACCGCGCCGGCTCCAAACACAACTGACACTCCGCTTTAAGGGGGAGTGGTGTTGGCAAGCACCAATATTTTGCTAATCCATCAGGTCACGACACAAGGAGAATATTGTGGTTGGAATTGTTTTAAGAGAGGAAGCTCTTTATGAGGCATTTATTTCATGTCTCGTGTTAGCTGGAGTGAAATGCCCATAATAAAGGCATTAGCACTGCACCACGTGTGCAAGTGGCAATTCATTTGCCATAAATAAGCAAAGAAATTAGGTTTTGGTGGAGGGCTTTGCCTGTGTGTTCAGAGGTCTGAAGAAGCCATGAGGAACAGAATCACAGAATATTAGGGATTGGAAGGGACCTCAAAAGATCATCTAGTCCAATCCTCCTGCCAAAGCAGGAACCTAACAGTGAAGCATCTGCATCATTATCATCAGCCCTTATCAGAAGCCATCACCGGGAAGGTGTTGGGTATCACATAAACATCCCCTGGTAAGAAACAACTTCTACAAGATGAAGACAGCAGAGGAAGTTCTTTGGAGATGCAACAGTCTTGTGATCCCAGCAGGAACTGGCAGAGATACCAACTCCTCCACTCGCTCCCTCTGTGTGATCTCAGGTAAGTCCTGTGTGTTCCCAGGAGAAAAATGGAGATAATGGAATTGTTGTACTTTACCAGAGACTTGTCAAGCACTTCGGAGATCACGGGGTTGAAGACCTCAGTTAAAACTGAGAACTAAAATTGTAAAGCCTGGGATGCTTTGAGTATGAAGGAGAAAAACCCCCACATCACTTGAGAGAAGGAAAAGCAAAGGGTTTTGCTTTCTCTTGTTATCTTGAAAGGAAGTTTCTTGGCTTTCAACTGGACTAAGAAAGCTTTTGGTTTGTCCCCAGGGTGGATGCTTCTCCTTGGGAATCCATACTCTCTGTTGCACACGGCAGCTCTTCTCATCCCTTGCAGGTGGCAGGAGGCAGCTTCTGCTCCCAGTGACCCTGTCCAGCCCTGGGCTCTTGCAGGTTCCCTGAGGTATGGACACATGCAGTTCATGAATGTTTTTTGCCTTGTGTCTATGTGCCTCCTGGCAGTGCTTTAACCAGAAAGACCCATGGGTGGTCTAAGTTTCAGGTTTACTGTTGGTTTAGCAGCAGCCTGGCAGCTTCAGTCACCTCTTTTTAACAGCTCTGTGTTCTACTCTACTGACCGATCTCTCCTGCTTTTCTCTCCCTCTCTTACTCACTGCTAAGGGTTTCTCTTGATGCTGGCTAATCTCACTCTCCTTTCTTTGTCTAATATTTGTATATGACCTCTCTGCTGTCTTTCCCACTTTCCAAGACACTCAGGATTTTCAAAGCACCTTTGAAAACCTTCTTTTTCCTTGCAGCTTTAGGATCTGCATCCATTTCAGGTGCCACAAAGCTACGTGTAGGGGCACTAAGGGCAAAGACCAGGACCCTAGACCAAGGGGTTATTGATAACCTTTGATGAGGAATTTGTGCTGGCAAACTCCTTTCCTCCATGGACCCCTCCACCTTGGGATATACTGAAGATCTGGCAGAACCATTAATGGGCTACACTTCCATCTAACCTTTAAAAGCACTTTTGGGCTTAAGCTCCACACCTTTTATTAACTGCTAAGAGAGATGGCTCCTGGTCCACAGCGCTTGAACCTGAATCAATTCTCTTTTGCAAAGTCTGGGGCTGCTCACGTCTAATTCCCTTCTTCATAAGCTTACAGTCCAGCTCCTGCCATAAATTTCAGACCTGCCAACACAACCCACTGCATGAGTCCCACCAAGAGCTCTGCATCTGACTTGTCGCTTGCCATCAGGTAAATCCCTGCACACCTTGTCTGAAACACACTGGTTTTGGGGAAGTCTTCGAGACCCCTGAAGGGAAAGCCCTACAGCAATTACAGTTATTGCTGAACCTGAGCACACCCACAGATCAGAGGTGGGATCAGCTTTGGTGTTCAGGTCAAGACACGTGGTTTTTGCTAAACTGATACTTTCTTCCTACGCTCCTTTAAAACTGTATCTGCACTTTTCAATGACAGGGAAGTTGAAAAACCTCACGTAGGCATTGGTTATGGTAATTGTGCCATAGAAAAACAAAGATAAAAGAACTGAAATCCTGGTTTGGTACCTCAGAGACATTGATCCGTCCCTCCTGGAAGGAGCACGTGGTGGGGTCGTGGGTGCAGAGGTTCCGGTACTTGCACCAGTGGCAGCGGAAAGCGCTGTTCACACAGGACAGGCACCTGGGGGGAGAAAGGAGAAGTTGGAAAGGGAGTTATCACCTTGGGAGGTCTACACGGTAACAGACAGGCCTAGCCAGAAGTTCAGGCTCAGGGTCCTTTGTGGGAAAATAATTTCTTTGGAGGGATGTTTTGATATAACAAAAGTAACCAACAGGTTTGGGAAAACACACTCTCAAAAGATAGTCTTTAAACAACCTCCCAAGTATTCAGGAATAAAATACAAGCTGGGATTTCTTGCCCATCATTGCACCGATGTAAAATGAAGCTCAACATTGTGCAGACACCAAACTTGATTTTTAGTTTCTAGAAAGTGGGGAAACAAGGCAAGCCTGGCCAAAATCGGATCAGTTGTTTTACAAGTCAGGAATGCTTCAAGTCAACAGTAACGCTTCTGCTTGGCCGTGGAGTGCAAAGAGTCCAGCAAGCACTTTTGATTTACATTGGAAGAAATTAACTGTTTATGAAATGTCTTTGAAAGAACACAGACCCCTTTGCAGACACGGGGTGGCCCAGCTGCCAGCGAACCGGCTGGGTGGGTTTTATTCCACACTAACTGGCTGCCAATTAGATGTACGGTCCATGACAGCAGCAACCACCTCCTCCATCCCTGAAGACCAACCCTCTGTGCTATGTGGCACCGTTTTGGTGACCGTCTGCTGGTATCAGCCTGAGCCATAAGTCCACTTGACTCTGCTTTGCCTTCACCAGTTGCCTGTGAAGATGCGGCCGCGTTCACAGTTGCGGGATCGCGCAGCTTGGGGGCACCAGCAGGTTAAAGTTCTCTCAGGCTCATTCCCTCTGTGTCTCTTAAGGCAGAGGAAGCTACACAGCACCCAGAGATGTCCAGAGAAGACAGGGATGGGTGGGTTTCTTTTCTACCACATGTCTGCTGGCTGAACCAAGCAGCTTTATAACCCCCAAAGCTGGTTCCAGAGCCCAGCATCCATCCCCCATTCTCTTTTTAGCCGGCGTTTGGCTCTGCTCGGGGAGGAGAAGGGAGCACTCACAGCTGGTGGGCACTGCAGTTGTAGAACTTGAACTCGGTTCTGACAAACGTCCTCCCGGTCTCCTGCGACTTCAGCTGCAGCACCACGCCGAACCAGTCTGGGGATGCAAACCAGAGCCCGTCAGTCCCACCAGTGGTAAGGAAGGAAGGAACAGCAGACGTGGGGGTACCTGCTCCCCACCTGCCAGTGCACTGAGCCATATGCTTCTGGGGTAGAAGGTGGAAGTCAGGCTGCTCTCATCTCCCTGCTCCCCCAGGCATCAGGCCCCCCACCCACAGTGACTCTGTACCAGTTCCCAAACTGGGGGCTGAGTATCCCCCAGCTGAATCCTGCCCTTGAGCACCTCAGCGTGCCGGGCTGGCTGTCCCCAAAATGCTTCCAAACCAAACTGGGCTTGATGGCAAAATGCATTTGACACACGGGGTCTAAATGCTGCCTTGTGTCACAGCTGAAATGAGTGTGGGATCTCATCCCGTTCTCTGAAGGATTCGGTCTCCAGTTTAAAACCACTAATTCAGTCCACTCTGAGAAGCAGCCCAAGTCAATGCTGGAAACGAGGGCATTAGTGAAGCTCTTGAGGAGTCTCAGCACTGGGTTAATTACGAGCAGATTGCTCTTCCCGAGCTGTTGAGGGTAAGCCCACACTAGCCCGGCTACCACGGCGGCTCTCAGCCCCCAGTGTTCACCGAGTCTCAGGCTCCACAGAACGCCTTAGAAATACAAAGATATCAGCAGGGAGGCACAGCTGACACCTGGAAGGATGCCAAGGAGAAAATGAGTTTTAAGCAAGTAGCATTTTGGTTACGGGAAGAGAAAATATGACAGCAGTGACATTAATGAAGAAACAACCCAAAGATCAGGAATGAAAAATAGAAACTGCATCCACCTACTCGTGGGTGCTGAGCCAGGCTGAGGGGAGGGCTCCTGCTTTCCAGATCCACCGGTGTGGCAAGGCTGCAAGTCCCTGTCTCACTCATGAGCCACCCCTGGGGGGACAGAGAGCTCCTGCAGCCCCAAGTCCTGCCTCAGAAGCTGCCTGGCGGCACAGGGAGGGAACAAGGACAGGACAAGCACACGGTGCTGCCTGCTCCCAGTTTATCTTGCCCTGTGTGGGATGCATTTCTTAAGGACAAAGCTTATTTAGCTCCTGAGGTTCAATGATCTTTGACAGCAGCATGAATTTCTCCAGCAGCAGCAGCCCCAAAGGGTCTGCTCCACCCAGCAGATCCTTCCAAACCTACACAGCACTTTCTGGTGGCATAGATGTCGCATTGGTGTCCAGAAGTCAGTTACTCACCTTGATCCACAGGTATGGCAGGAACATCTTTCGCTGCTGGTGAAACACAGACAACCCGGTTCTCTGAAACCTGCCCTTCCACCTCCGTCAGGTTTCCAAAGAGGCAGGTGACCCCGGCCCTCAGGTCTGGAGCATCGCTCACGAACAGGCTGAGCTGCAGCCGGGGAGAGGAGGGGTGGAGGGGAAACAAAACACAGGCAGTGACCTGTCAGCAGGCAGAGCTGCCCAAGCTTCCTCTGTATTTTCACAACCTGCTGTTTTCCCATTCAATAGTCACCCCCTTAAATTACCCATCCACCCACAGGAGGCGGCCAGCTGCCCTTCCATGGGAAGCAAAGGAGGAAAAAGAAAGCCAAGGACACAGGCTCTTTACTGATACAAAACTGCCTCGCTAAGCCTTTGGGTGCTGCAGTTCAGGAGAGGTGGCAATGGCAGCTTTTTGTCCCCCTGGTTGCTCTCCAGAAGCATTGCCACCCTCAATGCCCAGGTCAGGAACCTGCCACAGCAGCAGCAGCGTGTCGCTTCTCATACACGAGAGACACAGTGCTCAGGGACATGGCTTAGGGGACTTGTCAGTGTTGAATTAACAACTGGACTTGATGATCTTAAAGGTCTTTAAGATCATCATCTTAAATGACCATCTGAGGCAATTCTGGGATTCTGTGAGAGTAGCAACAACCTTCTGCTCCAAAAACATCCCTGAGCTGCAACCACCCCACTGCACACATGGGAGAGCCAGCCCTGCCCCAGGGCACGTGAGAACATCAGGGAAAGGAGAAAGTTCTCACCAATCCCAGCATGAATGGGGACTGTCCCCATGGCAAAGTGGTGCCCACACCATTTCGACAGCGAGTGGGGAGCGGGAAGGGGCTTCAGCAAGGGCAGCTGCTGTGGGGTGCTGGGGGGCTCGGAGAGCAACAGCTGGGATGCTTTGGAGAGCCAGGTCTGAGCACAGCTCACAGATGAGCTTTTTGGGAAACAAAGCCTCGCCTTTCAACAGCTAATGAAACCAGACCAAGAGAAATGTGAGCTGAGGCCCAAGGGGAAGGGGAATTTGTTTCTGCCATCCCCACCCCCTTCCTCCCTGGCTCGGATGACCCCTCTCCTCCCCAGTCCCTCTGCGAGCCTGACTTCATGGGAAAACATTTGTGCCGATGGGCAGAGAGAAAGGCTGGAGAACAGATTGTTCCCTGTGAACCTGAAATATGCTGGCAATGCCTCTCACCAACAGATCCATCCACAGAATCACAGTGGTTGGAAAAGACCTTTAAGATCATCAAGTCCAACCATAAACCCAACACTACCAATTCCACCTCTAAACCATGTCCCTCAGCACCTCGTCTGCCTGTCTGTTAAATCCCACCAGGGAAGGTGACTCCACCACCTCCCTGGGCAGCCTGTTCCAGGGCTTGACTGCCTTTTGGGTGAAGAAGTTTTTCCTCAGATCCAACCTAAACCTCCCCTGGTGCAACTTCAGGCCATTTCCTCTCGTCCACCTCTCCCCTCGTGCCGGCAGCACTTACCGGGAGGCTGTGCTCGGAGACGGAGATGCTGCTGGGCTGCACGGTGATGCTCATGCACTGGCTGATGCTGCCTGCAAACCGGTACGGCTCGTCTGCGCGCTCACAGCTGTCCCTTGGGGAGCACCTGCCACAGGTGGGGACACATCAGAGCAGGCACAGCACACGGGGAAGGTGACAAACAGCACCAGGGGCAACAGCTGACCAGGAGTGAGCTAAACAGGAGAGCAGAGCCTCAGCCAAGGGAAAGGGGAGTTACCAGCAGGACCAGGGGTGATGCTCTGCACCGGGACCAGGAATCAGGCACAGACTCCAGATTAGGGCCAAAGGGCACTGAAAAATGTTCTAGGATCAGAGGAAAGACAAACCACAAGTATCTCAAGAGCAATTCCCAGTCCTGCCTGTGCTGGGACACAATCCAGAGCTGTTAGTCCCGTGTGCCAGCAGTGCCAGTGGGTGCGGGGTGGGTGACTTGGGCACTCTGCTGCTGCTCAGCCAGGGCCCCTGCAAGCCAGAAATTCATGATCTACACAGAAACTAAACTGTAAAGCAGTCACAGGCAGTAACAAGATGATGCCTCCATTCTAATTAAAACGAAACCCCATAGTTCATTAATTGTCTCCTCCTGGAGCTGAGGAGTGCCACAGGAATGGGACTTCCCAGCAGCTGCCAGCCGTGCTTTGGCCAGTTTTCACACGTCGGGCTCCAAGCTCTCTCCCATTCCCACCATCAGGAATGCAACCCTCCGAGCATGCCAAAGTGACTGGGACTGCTCCCAGCACACCGCCTGCTCCAGGAGGCTTGTTATCCCCATCCCTCTACTGCAAGTGTCCTTGGAGTGGAGTGGAATTCAGTTGTTTCCAGCAGGTAGAGGAGCAACCACCAGGAAACCAAGGGAGGATTATCAGTGTTCCAAAGCTGGTATCAGAGATGGCAGCACAGCACGGGCACCCCTCAGGGATTTTCTATTTTATATCATTTAGGGAAAATCTTGTTCTTCCAACCCTCCCCCCTGGGTGCAGGTGACATATTGGCCTTTTGGTGTTAATGGTCTTAATAAGGTATCAGCAAACTTTATCACTTTTCATTCATTGCTGATCTTGGACCCTATTTCAAATGGTGGCACAAAGGTCAGAGGATGGAGATGCTGTCACCAGCCCCACGTGCCACCAGCACGTTCCCTCTGACAGTTATTTGAGTGTATATGGCACTCGACTTAACAAGGTGCTGCTGTCAAAACTGCTTGTTTTCCTGATTCCCTGTGGAGTGGCTCGGGCTGTCTCAGACACACACAAGCATCAGCAGAAACAGCTCCTGCCCAGGCAGAGACTGAATTCCAGCAGCACATCCAGCTCTGACCCCCAGACAACACCCAGCAGAACCAGGGCTTCCCACACTGAAGCACTGGACTCACATCCTCCCTGCAAGGCCGTTTGCTTTTGGTTAAGAAAAGTAGAGTTCACACTTTCCCTTTCCAACCCACCCGTGTGATCCCCAGCAAACACTCTTGCTGTTCTCCTCACCCTCTTGGGTTGGTTTTTTTTTTTTTTTTTACTTTTTTCTTTTGGAGTATAATGGAGCTAAATATGAATGCTGCCAAAGGAAGAATTATTGAGTTGAAGTGAATCTGTAAGATAGCTTTAAAGTGAGCTCTTGACTGGAGCCTTTATCTCATTGACTCGCTAGAATGGTTCTTTTTTATCATACTATTTATGGCAACAGCCCTAACAGAGATAAATAGGTCTGGAGACAATAACACACTTGCAGAGAGCAGCATATGGAAGTCTTGCAGGTTTCAAATCCCACTGGGTTGAAGAGACTCTTTAACAATCTCCTTGAGGCCTCTGCTTGCTCCCAAAGAGTGCTGCTTGTAGAAGAGGAGGAGCAGAAGATCCTTCTTCTCACGTGGAGAGGATGAAATTGCACAGTGAGCAAAGCCCTAGTTGTGAGGACATGGTGGAGGTGTTGGGCAGGGACGGGTGGCTCAGGGAGCACTGGGTGAGCCGAGGAGTTTTGCAGGAGGACAAGCACCTTCCCCTTCCTGCTGGTTTTTAGCACCTTCTCACATATCCTGTGTCCAGGATTCTTCAAAGCTCAGTGCATGTGCTGCCCATGGTCATCACCTCATCAAGCTCTTTTAGGGCAGGAGTGATGGGGCTGTCTCGGTGCCTGCACGACCGACTCCTCCCTCCAGAGCTCATGGATGCAGTCCTCACAGGCAGCTCGTTCATGTGCATCACCACCCTGAAATCCTCGGGATGCACACGCACCCACAAACACCCCACAGTGCAACAGAGCCTTCACCCTGACTCAGGCCTCCAAGAGCCAGGAACACACAAGGAGCACACCAGGAAAGCGTAATGTAATATTGGATAACGAAAGCTTATCCCAGGACAACTCAGATCCTTCTGCTTTTCCTTTATGACTCCTCTCTGGCTGATGGCACGGGACAGGACGCACTGCTTGACACAACCTGGAGTGGAGCAGTGGTCTGTCTGTCTGTCTCACATCTGTACCTGTTCAGACATCCAACACATCATTTAAAATTCTGATTTTTTTAATATTTTTTTTCTGGCTCTCTGACAGCTCATGTCCATGCTCTCAACTAAGACTCTGGCAACTGCAAATTGTGGATGCCAAGTGCCCAGAGAGAAGCTGGGGACAGCAGGGAGCAGCTCTTGCACAGAGACTCCCCGAGCTGCCTGGGGGTCTCAGACCCCAAACCTGAGGGAGCAAAACCCCTCAAAACAAGCAATTGGGGAAAACAACTGGATTTCCATCACACCCTGACCCCCAACCCTTCAACCATCAAAGGAGCAGCTGGTCCATCTGGCAGGAGGGACAGGTAAGAATGAGAGCAGAGAGATGACAAATTAAATACAAACACTCCGGCGCTCGGGGACTCCAAACACATATGACAGAGGCTCCAGAAATAGCAAGATAAACTCAATTATTTACAGCTTAAGACAAAAGCTAAAGAATTGTCATTGCTCCAAGCAGGCCAGGAAAGTGCAGATGCTTGAAGGAAGGGTTGAGAAATACCAGAAGGGAAGAAACCCTCGTTAGGAACAGGTTAATGCTGAAATGTCACGGCCAAAAGGGCAGAGGAAACGACACTTTTCTCTCCTCTTGACATTGAGGGTTTTCTCTCTGCAGAATTAAGATAACAACCTTTACCTGCTTCCCAGGTGGTTTATGAAGATTCAGTTCATTAGCATTAGGAAAGCACTCGGTGGATCCTTGCAGAGAAGGGGTCTGAGGAGCAACACCAAACACCCACAGATACCCGATGCCACTGTCCCTTCCTGCCACACAGCTCAGCAGCACCAGGCACTAAAAAGCCACTGTCCCCAGGTGAGGGGGTGCTCTTTGTACCCCTACAGATCCCTGGGACCTGCAGACCTGCAGCTCAGGCCAGATGCTGAGTAGAGCAGGTCCCCTCTCCTCACTGCCCTGTCCCCCTGCTATCAAAACACTGCGGTGGCTTTTGTCCCAGGTGGTTTTTGTCCCAACTGTTGGAAAGGCACATGGGGACAGCTGTCCTGAGGGGAGAGGGACATGACCAGGGATGGAAATCACTTCCCTCAGACAATGCTGCTGTGACAGGAAAGACTTTTGGACACAGCAACACATGGAGGCTCAGCTGTAGGGCTGGACAGGCTTGTTGGAAATGAAAAAAAGCTTTAAAAAAAAAAAAAGAAAAAAAAGAAAAAAAAGATGCCAGGGCAGCTATGCCCCACGCTGCTGTGCTGCTGGCAGGGGTGGCTCTGCCACAGCGCCAGGCATGGAGCCCCTGGGATGCTCAGGGCAGTGGCCACAGTGGTCCTCCTGCATCTCCCCAGGTGTGGTGATGACTCTTTGCAAACCACACGAGCTGCAGGGACCCAGTTTGCACCCCAAAGCCCACAGGTCCCAAATCCAGGCCAGATTTGTGGAGGAGCCTGCCAGTCCCTGCTCCTCTCCAGCACCTGCTGCTCAGGCATGTGGCCAAGCTCTGCTGCGGGTCCCTGCACCCTGCTTGTGCCCCCACTGCCAGGCCTTTTTCGGGGCAGCTCTGCAAGCTGGCAGGCGGCCGGAGGGATTGCTATTCCTCTCCTCCAGCCTCTCGAGGCTTTTCCCTCCTCCCCTGATCTGCCTTTGCCTGGTGGTCCCCCTTCCGCCTTAGGAAGTGATGGTTACTGTGGCAGGGGAGAGAAAGGAAGGACACAAACATCTCCTGAATGCAAAGAGCGTTTCCTGGAGCTCCCTTGAAAAAAAAAAAAAAAGCAAAACCAACCCAACAAACCCCTCATCTCTCTGTGCCTGGTGATGTGGGTGAGGGGCTGCCAGCTCCCAGCCCCACGCTGCCGGCTCTGCCCCATTGAGGATGGCTGGACCCTCTGACTTCACCACACGGAATTTACATCCCAGTTCCTGATACATTCAATAGAGCTTGGTGCTCTGCTCTGCTCCAGTGCTGTATCCTCTAGGAAAGCAAAGTCCCACTCATACAATCAAGTCTACTACTGTCTTTAAAAATTCCCTGTTAAACAGGAGGGACTCGTGGCTTGGGCAAGCAGGAGTGTGCAAAACACGAGACCTCTGTTCCCACCAGTTTAAACTCTGCTTTTCTGCCACGTCCACAGCACCCTGTGCTATGTGTGACCCACTGCTCCTAAAGAAGGAATTTGTTTTCCTTTACTTCCTTCCAGTAGCTCGGGGAATTGCAATGACATTCACACTGCAAGGCAGGGAATGTCCCGAGAAGGGAAGAATGGTTTTAACAAACTTCAATCTAATTTGCTTTTGCAAAGATTGAGTGGGTGGCACATGGTAGCTTTGAAAGCTGCTTTGATCATCACCAGCAAAAATGAAATGGCCAAGGCTGGACTTACATGTGGTGGAGGGTGCACCAGCCGCAGTGGGGGTCTCCCGAGCTCAGGCACTCCCCGCAGGTCGTGTACTGCTCGCAGGACTCCACGGGCACCCGGGACACCTGGAATCACAGAATCATAGAACCATCATAGAATAGTTTGGTTGGAAAAGACCATTATGATCATCTAGTCCAACCATAAACCCAGCATTGCCAAGTTCACCACTAAACTACTAAACTGTGCCCCTAAGCACCACATCTGCATGTCCTTTGAATACCTCCAGGGATGGTGACTCCACCACTTCCCTGGGCAGCATATTCCAGTACTTGACAACCCTTTGGGTGAAGAATTTTTTCCTAATATCCAACCTAAACCTCCCCTGGGAGGAAGAAGCAAACACATGGGCTGAGTGCTCCTCACCGCACAACGGGCAAGTAAAACAAGAGCAGCTCCAGGTCCTGCTTCACCAGTTTGAGTCGAATAACACACAGTGATTAAGTGAATTTGTTCCAACATCTGTGCAGAAGTCAGACAAGAATAGGAAATACTGGGGACCGAGTCACCAAGTCACCCTGTCCCTTGGGTGCAGCCATGATATGAATCACGGCGCAGCAGAGCCACAGCCCGGAGCCTGGCGCCAGCTCACCAGAAACCCCCTGACCTCCCTGCCCAGAGACGCTCCCAGGGCCAAAGCTGTGTTCTCTCCTCCTTGATTTACACTTTGCTGTCTTACACTCGCTGGCGGGGAAGCTGCTTCAGAGAGGAAAGCTGGCAGAGAAAAATATTCATTGGGACTTTGCAGGTTGGCAGCTTATTTAGCCTACGTGGCTATTTCACTGCTCGCTCCTCCTTGGCCACCCCAAGCTCTTCCAGCACCAGCGTGGATTTGGCCACCCCATGTATGATCCCCTGGGACTGCCCATCTCTCCCAGGCAAGAGATGCCAGAGAAGAGAGGGACACACATGAGGGAACATCAGCCCAGATCGCTGCCGCAAACCCCCTCTTGCACCGATCACACACGCATGACACTGAGGTGCAGCAGGGTCCTGACCCCTTTATCAGCACTGAAAACCCCCAAAGGCTCCAAAAACCACACCAAGCTTTCACCAGGGGTCATCGCTTGACTCCAGTGACACAATCCCACTTTAACCTGGCCAACCTCCAGCGGGGATGGCACACTGGCATCTCCCATCCCAACGCTGCAGCAGGGAGCTCCTGCACTGGCCCCTCTTCCACGTATTGACATTTCTCTTATCAAATACAGTAATTAATTATTGCCATTCCCAGCACAGCCACCTCGCAGCACCGGCTGCTCCCCCCATCTGGGAGAGATGCCTGAAAAACTGCCTGAGAATTAAAACAACTGTCGGCATCACACTCGCTCTGTCCATCACACCAGCGCCCAGCTCGCAGCAGCTGGGGTGCGCGGGGTGAAAGGAGCAGTGTCTCACCAAACAACGGCCGCTGTCACGCCAAGTGCTGTTGACACAGTGAGAACCCAGTTCCTCTCTAAACACGACACCAATAGGGTTGCTATTCTTCTCGTTTCCTCCATCCTACTTAACAGCTTTTCCCAAAACAAAAATTGCATGTGGAGGCGCAGGGCTGGGGATTTAATTATTTATTTATTTATTTTGCTGGGATGAAGTTTGTGAGATGAGCACAGGGCTCAGCTTGGGGTACACTGAGAACAAAGCAGCCCTGGAGCTGGAACCATGGGGCAGGGACCGAGGGGGTGTGAGGGGCAAAGCCAGAGCTGGGCATGCATTATCTTGAGATGGCTGGAGAGAGCTTCAGAAATGCACAGAATCACACAAGTTGGAAAAGACCTTTAAGATCATCAAGTCCAACCACAAACCCAACACTGCCAATTCCACCTCTAAACCATGTCCCTCAGCACCTTGCCTACCCATCTTTTAAATCCCACCAGTGAAGGTGACTCCACCACCTCCCTGGGCAGCCTGTTCCAGTGCTTGACTGCCCTTTGGGTGAAGAAGTTTTTCCTCAGATCCAACCTAAACCTCCCCTGGTGCAACTTGAGGCCATTTCCTCTTGTCTTGCCCCCATGGGAGTCACCAGTGAGGGACGTCACTGGGTTTCCCCTAAAATCTGCCCATCACCTTGAGCTGTGTTGGTGGGATGGCTCTCACTCACCCTGGAGGTCAGGACAGCCCCAAAATCATCAGGCATTGCTGATCCTCCACCTCTACCCACAACATGAAGCTTGACAGGATCTGTCCCTGTGATTTATATGCAGCTCAGGGCTTGTTTCATGTTTGTGAGGAGCTGGATGCTCTTGCAGTGCTCTATAAATAACAGAGGATTTGAATTATATGAATAATAGTTCGTTACAGATGATTTTACGTTAGGCATTTGGGTTCTTTTGCTGCTCAGAAGCTGTGGCTATCAGTAACCAGATACAGCAAAACCAGTCAAGTCTGGAGCTGTTTGCTGCCCACAGCATGAGGGAGAAAGGAGAGATCCTGCCTGAGAGCTTTCTAAAGGCAGAGGGCAGGAAAGCAGTAAGTGTACTCACCAGAAACCCACTCAGGAACCCCAAACCATGGCCACCACTGAGTCCCACCTGCCCAGCCCTGCTCCAATGGCCACAGGCACTCACGGCATCCCCATCCCACAGGCACCAGCACCTCACAGCCAGGCACAGCCAGTGTGACCCCCATCTGTCACAGCCTGGTCTATTTGCTCTCTCATCCTCGCCAGCCCCTGGGGCAGCTCTGTGTGCAGCAGAAGGGTTTATTTGGACAGGGCTTTGGTTTTCAGTATTTAGTCTTTAAATGTAAATACTTCTCTTTGTTTACATTAGAGAAGATAAGTCGGAGGAATGCTCCTGGCACTCAGAGCAAACATCTGAGAAGGTCTATCACCACTTCAGGAGTGTATTCCCCACCCCAGACTAAGCCCCAAGAAACCTGTTGCCTGAACTGATGAACTTATCTGCAGAGCAGGAGCACGAGGTCCTGCAGCACCCAGAGAGCAGAGCTCCTGGCTTCAGTCCCCATCCTGGAGCACTGGCAGATCTCACAGTGAATTTGAGCTTTTCAAAGCAAGTGTTAATTCTGGATACTTTGAGAATTCTCCTCCAACTACCAGAAACATGAGGTGAGAGGTCCTGAAGCTGTGAAGGGGTATGCAGGAATTTCCCAAATGCAGCTTCAAATCCTGCACTTTCTCACCTGGGAGATGGACCACTGCTGCCATGCAGAGCCCAGAGATGCCCACAAGGTCATGGTGCCTCTGCTGAAGCAGGCAGCAGGTCATTTTGGGATAAGAAAGGGTGACACACACTCCTCATCAGTGATAAAGCAACTCAGCAGAGCTGAGGAGCATCTTCATGAAGGACAACAGCCAAGAGACCAACACTCCTGGGGAATTTCCTTACTCCCAAGAGCAGACCTGTCCTCCTCCCAGCCCGATTGCTACCTCTCTTCCTTCTCCCCATGCCAAAACAAACCTGCTTCTCAATAACTAAATGATAAAGTCTCATTACTGCTTTCCTTGACTGCCTGATTCATAACATCAGAAAAAAAAACAACAACAAAAAAAATCAATATAGACTCACCAAAACACATGCATCCAAACTCCGCCAGCCCCCAGAGAAAATAAAGTAAGAGCAAGAATCCATTTCCAAATAAATAAATACAGAAAATAAACAAACAAAGCCAAGTTTCCATAGCTTATGTCTGCTGCCAGCACAGGCCTCTGACCTCCCTGGCTGAAGACAGCCCCCAGGGCGTCCCACCGCCACGGCACGCTGCCTGCAGCCCCTCGGGGTGCTGGAGTTCAAACAGAAAATCTATTTTTAATGACTTTGGGGAGTGTAGTAGAGATGCCAACTAGTTCAATGTAATTAAAGCTATCTATCACTCAGTGAGCAGGAGCCCAAAGTTGATGAACTTTCCAATGAGATTTTATTCTTCCCTTCATTCATTAAAAACCACCACTTTGTGCTGCTGCAGGAGACATGAAAAAGTGTGGGAAGGAGCAAGGGGGACTCATCAGTTCCAGCTGTTAACGTGTCAGGGTGACAGAGCTGGGGAAAATAAAGTCAAACTTTCTCAGAGGCTTGTAAAAAGTTTGACAGACTCTTCTTCCCACTGGTTCTCCTCCCTGCGTCTTCATGCAGAACTGTTCAAATCTGGAATCCTCCTGCGATATCGTTTCTGCCAAGGGCAAAACCAGGGGGTGTAGGGCTGTGGAGCACGTGGGGCTTTGCTGAGCAAGACCTGTGGGTCCAATCTGCCCCATGCTGTATGAAAAGTCCTACCTGAAAATGACTTACTCTTGACTTGAGCAGAGCTGGACATGCTACGACTGAGAAGAGAGTGGAAGACCCAGGGACACAGGCAGAGCATGGTGTGGGACGCAGGGGAGAAGGCAAAGCTGGAGCATTTGAACTGAAAAGCGTTGAGGAGCATCCCCAAAGTGCTGCTGAGCTCCAAAGGCAGGAATACCTGCTCTGGTGGGGACTAACCCATGAGTCCCTGTAACACGCACCCCCAGCAAGGGATGGATGAGGGGGAGTTCTCCTGACAGGTACAGGAGGACCCAGCTCTCCTCTCCCACGCCGCTCAGCACAGAAAGGATTCTCAAAGCTACCGAAGGGGCTGTCAGAACCAAATCAACGCCTGTAACTTTTGGCAGAAAAGCAGCGAGTGGGAGAGGACACAGAGACAATGTTTCCATGACTACAAAGGGATTATTTAATTACAGCGCTGCAGATGCCTGCAGAGAAAGTCCCTTAAACTCTGATCCAAGCAACCTTTTCAATGAGTTTGGCTTTGCTGCTTTATGAACCTCATTAGCATCTTAGGAGGACAAGCTGTGACTGAGCACAGGAGACCGGAGAGCTTTCTAGGGAGTATTCAGACCTTCTCCAGGCATACCTGTCTCCTTGGCTGCCAGCTACCCGCCCTGTACAGCACTGGGTTCCCGAAGGAGGTGATGGAGGTAAGAGTAGCCTCCTCTGGGAAGCAAGAAAGCATGAAAAAAAACAGCAAATACCCCAAAGTGAGGCTTGATCAAGCTGTAAAATGGTCCTCGAGCCAGAGTTTCCTCTATCCAACCCAGCAGCAGGCAGCAGGACTCAGGCTCAGAGCAGAC